GGACAGGCTGGGTTGGGGGAACAGGTGGACTTTCTGTGCATTGCAGCCATTCGGACACGAGGTGGAATGTTCTGTCCATAACAAGCTTGTTGCCCCTACCAGACTTAGGATGACATCTGTATGAGTTTCCTGGTATAACCGGAACAAAGCACCACAGATGGCAAGCGGGTTGGGGGCGGTTGGCAGGGGGGCTTACTGTCTGACAGTTCTGGACGCCAGAAGTGCAAAATCAAAGTGTCAGCAGGGTGGGTTCCTTTTGAGGGCCGTGAGGGTGAATCTTTTCAGTGTCCTCTCTGCTAATTCTAGGAGCCTCAGGGGTTTCTCGGCTCGTAGATGGCCGTCTCCTCCCTGTGTCTTTACGTACTCCGCCCTTTGTATGTTTGTTGGCATGTCCAAGGTCCCGTTTTAGCAGGACACAAGTCATATTGGATTAGGGCCTACTCAAAATTTCACCTTAACTCGATCATCTGCAAAGACCCTATTTCCAAATAAGGTCATAGTCATAGGTTCTGGGGGTTAGAGATTCAATATGTATTTAGGGGGAAATTCAACCCACAATAACATCTTTCAGGGACCTTCAGAACCCAGACTGGATGATTCTTCCATGATTCTACCCACTCATCCGTCCATTCATCATTCACCCATCCAGCCAGCCAGCCAGCCACCCATTCATCCACCAATATGTTCCTCCATTTGTCCCTCTGTCAGCTTTCAGGATTATACACTTTCTGTGTGTCAGACACAGGGTGGACACCATATGCACCCGGGGTGTGTAGACACACACCAACAGAGCCCTACTAAGCCCATCATCATTGCACGACCATGTCAACACGTTACATTTATTTAGGCCTCCACTTAGCTAGTGTTGAACTTGTCATTTCATTTATGAGACTTTATCACATCACAAATAAAGACCTTTCCCTTAGCCGAATTGTATTTCCTTGTTCTAGGAGAAGTCCAGGAGATCTGCTCTGCTTCCCCCATTTTTGCCCATGTCATCGGTCACTTCCTCCAACCCTACCTGGTATTTCTGTGCGAAGCCAGGCTGGGTTTGGGGGTAGGTGGGATGGAGCAGGGCAAGACAGGAGGCTGGGATGGGCTACAAACACGCCAGCTCTCCCAAGACTCACTTGTTTATGAAGGGAACGTTACTCAGCAGAGGCAGGCCCTTGTACTCAACGTTGTAACTCTGGCCAAGAACACACCATGCAATTAGGAAGTGAGTTTTCTTTGGCTTGTGATATAAGTAAGCATCGTGCACTGGTCCATGATCTACACTGATGGTGTCTGCTGGCCCATCCTCAGACAGAGCTGTTCACGTAACCACGTGCGGACAAGGCATCCTTCTCTCAGATCCAGATGCGTAGAGGCCCCCTGAGTTCCACTCACGCCCCCTCCGAAGCCAATCCCTCCGTTTCCAAGGTTCTGGATCAGTACAGCTGCCCATCTTCAAATCTCTCCTCGAACAAATGAAATAGCAAAGAGCTTCCCACATGGTTCTGTGCTGTAAAAATGCCGCTGTGCTATGTTCATCGCTCCCAGGCCTCTGCTGTCTGCTGAGGCGGGGAAATCCTTCTGTCATGCAATAGTTCTCAGTACACAGCAAACCCTGACACGCTTTCGCTGAGATTAATCGGAGAGCAAAGCGCGCAGCTCACGGCGTTTGGCGGCCCCACCTGTGCCTTTTTGACATTACATCCTGCAGCGCCAGGCAGATTCAGAAACAGACCGGTGCCGGAGTAGAGGTGAGAGGTCGTGTCACGCTGCACATTCTGACACGATTCGGTACGGCAGAAGCTTGACATTTAAGGCTGGTGGAACCAACACTGTGGTTCATTATCATTGCTGCGAACTCATCATATCTTGACTTCACGTAAGAAAGAACTGTCTTTTATGGAAATCACGTGGAACCTGATCAAACAGAGATCGCTATTGTGGAGAAGTCTGGATGGGTGTGAATTCTTTCCAGCTCCTCGCAAGGGGGTTCGTTTTCGCTTGAGTGTGGGCTGGCCCGTGGCTTGCTTTGGCCAATCGAAGATAGCGGAAGTGACTGGACCTTGTGGAACATTCCACGCAGTCAAGTCTTCCGGTCAGGGAAGGGACCAGTCAAGCTGTCAGCTACTACTCAGTCCAGAGGCCAGGTGTGTGAGCAAAGCTTCTAGAACATTCCCACTCAATCAATCCTCCCGTTGACAATGGATCCAACCAACACCAAATGGAGCATCTGAGTCCCATCCGGTCTGTGAATCAGGAGACACGACAAGCTGCTGTTCACGGATGCCTCTAAGCTTCGGGGTGTTTTGTGCCACACCCATAGGTCACCAAAATCATTCCCACATGCAGGGAGAGTGGGCAGAATAGAACATATAACAGAAGCACTGACGTTTTCAGCTCCATTCACACCCACGTTTTATAACCTCCCTCCTCTTTGCTTTTCTCGCTTGCTGACTCACCCTGCACATCTGATATGGAGAAAAACGCACAGCACAGTATCCGTTTGTGGCTTTGAGCGCAGAGGGCGGACAGTGGGAAGGAGATGGCATGTGGTTTGATGTGTCATCTTCACGAGAGATGACCGTCGCCTCCGAGATTCACGTGCAGTTTGTTTCCATTCTGGAATCCAGAAGGGAGGGGACGGTCGCCTGCCCATTCCCCCCCTCAACCACCACCCAAGTTTATGCGCCCGTGAAGGGCAGGACCAGAGAACGTAAAACCTTCCCGCGCAGTTCACCAAGGTAGCACGACCCCGGCCGTCATGCTTCTCCCACCGGCTCACCCTCCTCAGAGCGGTCCAGCGTCTCGGAGCCGTCAAAACATGGGGGACAGCCTGTCACAGTTTTCCAGGAGGTGCGAGAGAGCACCGCGGATTCCGAGGCTCTCTTTGTGCCTCTTTGGTCCTCCCGAAGGGCAAACGCTCTTTCACGTCATTGACCCGGGGAGCTGTGAGAACCCATCTTCGGGGACCGCTCGTCTCTGTTCCCATAAAATCCTAATGTCACAGGATCCCCATCCCTGCTGCGGAAGCGCCACGGTGAGGCTGGGCTTTCTTCTCCGACCTCAGAGGGGCCACCCAGGCCTTTTCTCCCCGTGTGGTCTCCTGAGTATTTCCTTTCGTAGATAAAATTTCTGAAGTGAACAGTTCCTTCAGGGCAAGGCCTGCTCTGGAAAAGAGCTAGAAGCTCTAGCTGCCCTGGATGGCGGGAAGGAGGGAGCAGTGGGGGGAGATGAAGGTATAAGGGTCCCCCCCCCCCGCCGAAGGGAAGCTTGGGGATGCCTGGAGCCCTTTGGCTGTCCTGGCTGGGGGCGGGGGGATGGGGGGAGGGGAGCTCCTGGTACCTGGTGGGTGGAGACCAGGGAAGCTGCTCCGCACCCCACAGGGCCCAGGACGCCTCACATCAGAGAGCCACCCAGCCCCAGATGTCAGGAGTGCTGAGGCTGAGAAGCCCTGACCTAGCATGAGAGACTTTCTATCAATTATCTATCATCTATCTATCTATCTATCTATCTATCATCTACCTACCATCTCTCTCACTATCATCTATCTACTTATCTATCATCAATCTGTCATCAATGTACATGAGTATATATGCATGTCTGTGTCTGTCAATCTATCATCTATCACACTAAGGTGTCCACGTGGTAATCCCTGGGTAGTAGACAGACTAATGTCCCCAAAGATGTCCACGTCCTAATTCCTGGCAACTGCAAATATGTCACCTTACAGGACAAAAGACCTTTTGCAGGTGTGATTAAGAATCTGGAGATGGGGACTTCTCCGGTGGTCCAGTGGTTAAGACTCCATGCTTTCACTGCAGGGGGCCTGGGTTCAATCCCTGGTCAGGGAACTAAGATCCCGCAAGCCTCCACGGCACGGCCAAAAAAAGGAATCTGGAAACGGAATGAGTGTCCTGAGTTACCCAGGTGGGCACAAGGGCGCTTACTTGCTAGAAGAAAGGTGAAGGTTCAGAGTCAGAGAAGCAGAGGTTGGTGCCACGTGGGGACACGAGCTGAGGAATGTGGGCGCCCCTAGAAGCTGGAAAGGCAAGAAGACAGATTCTCCCTTGGAGCCTCCGTAAGGAGCCAGCCCTGCACACCTGGATTTCAGCCCAGGGACCGCAGTGTCGGACCTCTGACCTCCAGAAGGATGCCCACGGTGGAAGCATCCCTGATCTGGGGCCAGGAAGACCAGAGTCTCAGCCTGCCCTGCAATACGCCACTGGAAGTCAATCGGCCACTGTCTGCTTCTGGGAGACTGAGTTCTTAACTCTACAATGGAGCAATTGGTGTTTACTCTGCCCATCTCCCGCTGCCCACAGATTCTGTCAGTGGATATCTGTGAAAGGGCTTTGTAGTTTTGACATGATTTTACAAGCACAGTTATCACGGTAGGTGTTATGTTTCGTTAGAGTCACCCACTCCCGGGGACACATTTGGAGGCAGACACGGGGGCCATAAATTGGCCGCTGAAGATCAATCCAGGCTTGCTTCTGTGGGAAAAAGCCCACCTACAAATCTCCCTGGTAACATCTGGGAAACGATTCTCCTTGGGATTCTGAAAGTCCCCAAACTTTGTCCTTTATGGATACCATGCTGTCCCCTACTTGGCTTGAGGCCACTGGGAGGGGGACCAAGTGTCCCTGCTTCTGGGTGAGCAGCCAGGAAACCTCAGCAAGATGAGGGCTGCAGGACCGCTCTTGGACCTCGACCTCCAAATGCAGGATTCTCACAACCCACCAGAGGGTGAGAATCCTGGGTGTAGATCATATCTGATAATGTTTCAAGTGAGATGTATCCGGCGGGGCTACAAAAGTGCTTGGTGGGGCTGAAAAAATGATCCTGCACTATTTTTTTTTTTGACAAGAGTCATCTTTTAAAATAAAGCATGGCTGTTTCCTGTAGTCATCTCCCTAGTTTCTTTTCCACACTTTAAAGGCGGGGTGACCTCTGCATGATGAACTGAGCCGCTGACCTTCTGCTCACTGCTTCCTGCTCCTTCAAGCATGAGGCGTATCTTTCTGCCCTGGGCAGCCTCAGCTCTCTTCCTGCTGGGACATGTGATGGCTTCAGAAGAAACGGAGCTGGGTAAGTCAACGCTGGCAAATGTAGTCATTTGTCTGTCTGAAATGCCCTTTCTTTGAACAGCTCTGCTCTTTTCTTTTTATGGTGTGTTTTGCAACTGCACCGTTTTCTTTGTCAAAGTGACAAGGGCTTACACAGGTTTCTGAGTCTCGGGCAGAGCTCCATTTGCCTGTTGCAAAGGACCCACTCTTTTTTTTTTTTTTTTAAATTAATTAATTAATTGATTTATGGCTGTGTCGGGTCTTCGTTTCTGCGCGCGGGGTTTCTCTAGTTGCGGCGAGCGGGGGCCACCCTTCATCGCGGTGCGCGGGCCTCTCACTGCCACGGCCTCTCTCGTTGCGGAGCACAGGCTCCAGACGCGCAGGCTCAGTAGTTGTGGCTCACGGGCCCAGTTGCTCCGCGGCATGTGGGATCCTCCCAGACCAGGGCTCGAACCCGAGTCCCCTGCATCGGCAGGCGGACTCTCAACCACTGCGCCACCAGGGAAGCCCCAGGACCCACTCTTGATTGAGCTCAGGATTAGGTCTGAATGGAAGAACATCAATAGAAGAGCCCTTGTATGCAGAACTGAGAATCTGGGCTGCTTGGCTGTCTTGCCTGCCTCCAAAGAGGTGAAAGGCTTTTGTTTAAATTAATATTTACCTTCCGGTGGTGAGATCATGCCGCCACAGTGCCCCCGAGAAAGACAAGGCCTCCCCAGTCACCCTTCGCTCCGCGGGGTCACCCTTGAATCCCATGGCTGGCCGCACCTTCTGAGAACGATTATCAGCGTCACCTTTGCTCTCTGTCCTCAGAGCCTGGTTCCTGGGGCTTTTCCAGAGAATTGTTTCCAGGCTGCATGATCACCTTACAAGCTTTGTCAAAAGGCAGCAACAGGAGGGGTGGACGGGAGGTATCTGGTCCCGTCTTGCACTAGACAGCTTCGATTTGCTTTCCAGCTCAAGGGAGGCCCGGATGGGAGCTGGTGGTGGCACGTTCGTGACGTGTAGCTTCTGAACTGTCCCCAGGCATCACCCCATGCTTGACCGTCCACGTCCGAGCTGGCCTCTCTCCTATCTGGTTTGGAAGGGTCCCTAGGGGCCTTCTTTGCTGCAGCCCTGGGGTTGCAAACTGGGTATCAAGTGGACACAGTGAGGAGGGTGAGAGAGCCTGGATGTGGGGTGCCCCAGGGCTGGCACCCACATAATTCCCTAGCTCTGTGCAGGGCCCGGTGCTCTGTTTTCACGAGGCCGAATCCAGGACTCCATCTGCCAGCGACAGAAGGCAGAGGGAGGAGAGATTTGGCTGTGATCGGAGCTCCCCGTGGCCACAGATTCCTTGAGATCCATAGCTTCCTTCTGACAGCCCCCCTATACCTGCCACGACTGCGCACGTGGAGTTTGAGTGAAGAAAGAGCCCTTTAGACCAGTTCTGGATTCTGACCCACTTGAAGCACACCCGTGGGCAGAAGTAGGGGTTAAGGTCGTGGATGGACAGAGGGTCCCACCCGAGGCGGTTCTCATCTGTCTGTGCAGCCGGGCTCACTCAGAACCTTTGTAGGAACTTCCTGGAAAATGCAGAACTTGCTTTACGAAAGGCCTTTGTGTTTTGCCTGCTTTTCTTTTGCCCGAGGTCATCACAGGTGTGTGAACACCTGCGGTCCCATTGGGCACAGTCTTAGCAAAGCCTCCCCCCATCCCGCCCGAGGTCCCGGAGCTGCTCAGGGAGGTCCCTCCGGGGCCATTTCCACCCCGTCGATCCATTTTGAACCAACAGATTCAGACTTCACGACTCCATTGGGCTTTCAGATCATATTTCCATCTGAGGCTATTGTGTGTTTCTGATGGGGCTAGTGATGATGCGCATTTGCCCCAAACACGCCTAACCCTCGTGCATCCTTGTGAACCGGTGTCAAAAGAAGCACGAGGAAATCGACACCCAGAGACACCCCCCCACCCCCACCCTTGCCTTGGTACAGACAACCTTTGTCACCAGGGCTGTCCTGGTGCACTTTGCCATTTACACCTTCATCTCTTAAAATTTTCGAATAAGTCCATAATATCCCATAAAATCAGCACATACTTTCTAAGCAACAGTGGGTCCTGGTGGCCCTGAGTTCTTTCCGTTCAGGAGCCGACATTCAGGTGGGAACAGTGAAATCACAGGAATGAGATGGTATCTCTCAGTGGCGATGGTGCCACCGGGATGGTTAACCAGCGATGGCCCAGGTTGGCGGGTAATTTCGGGAGAGATGGAGGTGTTTCTGATGGTACTGGAGAAATAGAGTCCAAACTGGCATTTCTCGCCAACCCAGACTTGTTCTCCACCAAGGTAGAGATAAGAGAGACACGATTCGTGACTGAATAAGCATTGAGCAAGGCTGCGCTCTGATGCACATGCCTTTCGGGAAAGACATTGGCAAGACACAAACCCTTTTCTAGAGCAAAGGTGGACACCAGCCACTGCGCCCACGTTCTCAAACGGGAGGACGTCCCAGCACCATTTGTAATCGTAATTCTTCCTAAACTCACCTTCCAGTTGGAGGGACCACCTGGGTCAGATCATTGGCTTTCTCCAAGGGAAAAATTAACTCCTGTCTCTATGACTGAAGGTGCTTTTACGACTTGGAGCCAGACTCTTAGCCCCTCACAGAAATGGGGCACCGCACCGTTTATGTTTGCTCTTCAAAGAGTTGGCTCCCTTGAGAAAAATATGCCTAGGTCCCAAATCTGGCAAAAGCTCACTCACTTCTAAACGTCTCTACATGTATTTCAAAGGGATGAAGAAAAAACTTAAACATTTTCTTTTTTTAAAAAATATATATTATGAGGGCTTCCCTGGTGGCACAGTGGTTGACAGTCCGCCTGCCGATGCAGGGGACACGGGTTCGAGCCCTGGTCCAGGAAGATCCCACATGCCGCGGAGCAACTAAGCCCGTGTGCCTCAACTACTGAGCCTGTGCTCTAGAGCCTGTGAGCGACAACTACTGAAGCCCGCGTCCCTAGGGCCCGTGCTCCGCAACAAGAGAAGCCACCGCAATGAGAAGCCCGCGCACCGCAATCAAGTGTAGCCCCCGCTCGCCGCAATTAGAGAAAGCCCGCGTGCAGCAACGATGACCCAACGCAGCCAATAAATAAATAAAACAAACAAATAAATAAATTTATAAAAAATATATATTATGAGCTTTAAAATTGAGATATAGTTGATTTATAATATTATATATGTTTCAGGTATACAACATAGGGATTCGCAATTTTTTAAAGATTATACTCTACGTATAGTTATTATGAAATGTTGGCTATATCCCCTGTGTTATACAATATATCCTTGTAGCTTATTTATTTTATATGTAATAGTTTGTACCTCTTAATCCTCTACCTCTGTCTTGCCACTCGCCCCCTTCCCTCTCCCCACTTGCAACCGCTAGCTTGTTTTTGTATCTGTGAGTCTGCTTCTGTTTTGTTACATTCACTAGTATGTGTCATATTTTAGATCCCACATCTAAGTGACATCATGTGATATTTGTCTTTCTCTGACTTACTTCACTCAGTATGATCATCTCTAGGTCCATCCATGTTGCTGCAAATGGCATTATTTTGTTTTTTTTTTATGGCTGAGTAGTATCCCATTGTATATATAGACCACATCTTCTTTATCCATTCCTTTGTTGATGGACATTTAAGTTGCTTGCATGTCTTGGCTATTGCAAGTAGTACTGCTATGAACATTGGCGTGCAAGTGTCTTTTCAAATTAGAGTTTTCGTTTTTTTGTGATAAATGCCCGGGAGTGGAATCGCTGGATTCTATGGCAGCTCTGTATTTATCTTTTAGAGAAACTGCCGTAGTGTTTTCCACAGTGGCTGCACCAATTTGCATCCCTACCAACAGTGTACCAGGGTTCCCTTTTCTCCACACCGTCGCCAACCTTTATTATTTGTGGTCTTTTTGACGATGGCCATTCTGACAGGTGTGGAGCCTAAGTACCATCTAAAGCAAATATTGAAGGACTCACTTGACCTTGAGCTTTTCCTCGACTCGTCATGTGTGGTGTTCTGAGTAAGACAGTGACTTTGGTGGTTGGGGGACAGTGTCCAGTTCCTCTCTGCGTGCCCACAAAACATGGTGCCGCTGGACACACAGTCGGCACTCACTGTTTTCTCTTCACACTAACCGATAATCATTACCTCTTGCCAACGAGAGAAGAAAGTCAGCTGTAATCTTGCACTGACTGGTGTCTCTCAAAGTGATTGAGTTTTCTCACCGACCTTCATAGATCCTGCAGTTCTTACTGACATAAGTCATGACCGGTTTGTTTGTGAGAATCTTGGTTTTCTCTGTCCCTTTAAAGCACTCTATCATTCTTGTATTATAAGTATGAAACCCATAACAGACTCTGGACACATAGTAAGAATATAAAATATCTTGTTGATAATTACAGATAGATGACATAGGTAACAGATAGATGATGACAAGATAGATGATAGATAGGTAGATAGATGGTATAGATGATAGATACATAAAAAGATAGTAGATAAATAATAGCTAGATGATGATGATCATGATAGATAGATACATAGAGGTAGATGGTAGATAGATAGATGGAAGGATAGATATAGATATCATGTTCAAATGATAATATTCTGGATATATAGGGTTAAATAAAATATATCATCAAATCTTTTTTCAAAAGCACTACACCGTTCTTCTGACATGAGTGCCGACATCATTTTTCAAATTTCACTCTCTTCCCAGCGTTGCCTCAAAGTCTACTCTATTTGTGTCTTTCTACCCAGGAGAAGCATTGCAGCTTCAAATCATCAACTTTAATTTCGAAACTGTGAAGGTTACATGGAATGCAAGTGAATACCCTGGGACTAATTTGACATTCCTCCAAAAGTAAGTGCCCTGAGGAAGGGAAAACCATGCCTATGGCTAAAATATTTCCTCTTCCACGACGTCAACAGCTGGGAGGCCCAGGACGTGAACGTGTGAAGGATCAGAACGTGCAAGTGTGAATGTGTGTGCCCTCTTTAGTAGCTCTCAGGCCTCACCACAGCTCCCAGACCTTCTAACGGAGTGACGACTGACTCATGCTTGAAACCACCTAGATTCTTTTTTTTTTTAATAGCTATTTGATTATATCTTTTTTCTTTTTTTTAATGAATGAATTAATTTATTTTTGGCTGCGTTGGCTCTTCCTTGCTGCGCACAGGCTTTCTCTAGTTGCAGCGAGCAGGGGCTACTCTTTGCTGCGGTGCGCAGGCTTCTCATTGCGGTGGCTTCTCTTGTTGCGGAGCACGGGCTCTAGGCGTGTGGGCTTCAGTAGTTGTGGCTCGCGGGCTCTAGAGCGCAGGCTCAGTAGTTGTGGCGCACGGGCTTAGTTGCTCCGGGGCATGTGGGATCTTCCCGGACCAGGGCTCGAACCCATGTCCCCTGCATTGGCAGGCGGATCCTTAACCACAAGGGAAGTCCCACATCCGTTTCTTTAATCATAAAGGAGATAATTCTTGGTCTCGTCACTGCTTAGGTTTGAGACCTTAAGGATGGAGACAAGCTGGTCTCACACTGGGTCCTATAGGCTTCTTAATATTGCAAGGAAGCCTCAAAGATATACCCAGTCTTGGGACATCCCTATTAAAAGTGTCTCCTGGAAGGGATAGTTAGGGAGTTTGGGATTGACATGTACACACTGCTACATTTAAAAAGGATAACCAGGACTTCCCTGGTGGCACAGTGGTTAAGAATCCGCCTGCCAATACAGGGGACACGGGTTCGAGCCCTGGTCCAGGAAGATCCCACATGCCGCAGAACAACTAAGCCCATGCGCCACAACTACTGAGCCTGTGCTCTAGAGCCCGCGAGCCACAATTACGGAGCTCATGAGCCGCAACTACTGAAGCCCACGCGCCTAGAGCCCATGCTCCACAACAAGAGAAGCCACCGCAATGAGAAGCCCGCGCACCGCAACGAAGAGTAACCCCTGCTCGCCGCAACAAGAGAAAAGCCCACACGCAGCAACAGAGACCCAATGCAGCCAAAAATAAATAAATAAATTTTATTAAAAAAAAAAAAGGAATAACCAACAAGGACCTACTGTATAATACAGGGAACTCTGCTCAATGTTATGTGGCAGCCTGGATGGGAGGGGAGACTGGATACATGTATATGCATGGCTGACTCACTTTGCTGTGCACCTGAAGATATCACAACACTGTTAATCAGCTCTACTCCAATATAAAATAAAAATGCCTCCGTGAGTCAAGGGCTGGGTTACTCTTCAGGTCAGTTACTTTCCTAGGGCGGCCGCAACAAAGTACCCAAAACTGGGCAGCTTAAAACAAGGAAAATTCATCTTCCCCCATCCTGGAGACCAGATGTCTGAGGTCAAGGTGTCCCAGGGCCGCGCTCCCTCCTGAGGCTCCAGGGGAGGCTCCTTCCTGCCCCTTCCAGCTTCTGGGGGCTCCAGGCATCCCTGGGCTTGTGGCCGCATCCCTTCCGTCTCTGCCTCTGTCTTCCCGGGGCTTATCCTCTGTGTCTGTGTCTCTCGTCTTCTGTCTCTTAGAAGGACCCTGTCATGGGATGTAGGGCCACCCTCATCCGGGAGGACCTCATCTCAGACCCCTCACTTCATCACATCTGCAAAGATCCTATTTCCTAATGAGGTCCTGTTCCCAGGTTCCGGGGTTAGTACTGATACGTAGGCATGCCATTTGGAGGGCCACAATTCAAGCCCTACAAGATCCATTCAAGGGGTGTGAACATTTGAGAGAGGGGTACTTTTCTGTTTCGACAGGTCTTGCTGTAGTTTTGTAAGGGGAGGGGGTCAGTGAAGCGAGTGACGTGGTACCCAATCTGAGTCAGTGACAGAGTCACGGAGCAAAGGAACGGCCCTTAAGTTGTGATTTTTAAGATGCTACATAGCTGAATTTTTCTCCTTTTAAATCACAGGTTAAGAAGCAATGAGACATACAGACCATGCTCCAAGTATACCCTTCAACAAGGTTACACAGCCGGGTGCCTCTTGGAGGTAGAAAAAGATGATGTTCTACAATTTTCCATCAGGAATGGAACACACCCTCTTCTCACCAAGAGACTATGGATCAGCAGTTACCGTACGTGCTTTAGTACCTTGAGGGTTGACTGTCCATTTTAGATTAGGATACATCATACAAAGGTAGTGAAACCCTCTCTCCAAAGATTCATGTTTTGGTCTGGATTTCTGTGAGGCAGAGTTTTTTTCTCCCCCACTGTTTTGACGGATGGGATGTCACAGGTCCATCTCAGAATCCTATGAGACCTATGGACCCCCTACTGAAAACAATCCCTCATAGACACTGTATAAGTCTCCTCGGGTTGCCACAAATAATTATCAGAAATTGGGTAGCTTAAAATAAACATTATCTCCCAGTTCTGGACACCAGAAGTTCCACAGTCGAGATGTGGGTAGGGTTGGTTCCTTCTGGAAGTTCTGAGGGAGAATCTGCTCCAAGCCTGTCCCTCAGTTCCTGGGAGCTGCTCGTAACCTTGGGCATCCCTGGGCCTGGGGCCGCCTCCCCCCCATCTCTGCATCCGTCTTCATGTGGCTTCTCCTCTGTGTCTGTGTCTCTTCTCTTCTGATAAGGACACCAGTCATACTGGATTAGGGCTCACGCTACTCCAGGATGACCTCATCTTATCTTAAACAATTACATCTGTAATGATCCTCTTTCCAAAGATTCTGAGGTGCTAGGGTCCAGGACTTCAAAGTGTCTTTTTCTGGTGGGACACAATTCATCCCATAACAGATACAGAAAAGTTTTTCAAGCAGTTTCAGAGAGCTCTTTCCACGAGACACCTAAGGGTCCTTGAAGAGCTGGCTAAAAGTTCTATTGTCAATGTACTAAAGACAGGGAAACCCCACATCTCATAAGGTATTAGAGGAAGGATTGGAGCAGTCAGAGGAAAGTGAATCCAAGCCCAGTTACCACTGTAATTTTAGAGATGTGGAATGTTTATCTTTGTAGAGGTGTTAGTCATTGTGCTATTTCTCCTTCTTAGTGAAACCCAGATCCCTGAGTGATCTGAGCTTCCAGTGGCATCAGGGAGCAGTGACAGTGACTTGCTCTGACCTGCGGTACAAAGATCTCGTGTATGAAATCCAGCACAAGAGCACCTTTGACACCGGGTGGCAGGTGAGGGCAGGGACGTCTTCTCAGGCCAGGTGTACGTAAGTATCCCCAAGATGCGAACGGTGGAGAAAGATGGAGAGACACAGAGACAAAGATACTGAGATTTATTTTAAGGACTTGGTCATGTGATTGTGGAGCCCGATGTATGTGACAGAAGCAGGGGGCACTCATCCAAAAAGGGAAAAGATGGACAAATGGCTGGAATCAGTAGAATAGAATCACTGCTCATCAAAGAAATACACATTAAAATTGAGGGATACTCGGCTTCCCTGGTGGCGCAGTGGTTAAGAATCTGCCTGCCAATGCAGGGGACATGGGATCGAGCCCTGGTCAGGGAAGATCCCACATGCCATGGAGCAACTAAGCCCGGGAGCCGCAACTACTGAGCCCATGTGCCACAACTATTGAAGCCCGCGCGCCTACAGCCCGTGCTCCGCAACAAGAGAAGCCACCGCAATGAGAAGCCCGCCCACCGCAACAAAGAGTAGCCCCCACTCACTGCAGCTAGAGAAAGCCCGTGCGCAGCAACGAAGACCCAACACAGCCAAAAATAAATAATATAAATAAATTAAAATTAAAAAAAAAATAGAGGGATACTGGAGTTCTCCTAAATAGTTGATCATAAAATGTGATCATTTTTAATGACGTTGAACATCAGGAAACTTTAAGACCTCCGTCCTTGTTGTGATCAATTAATTCCCTTTGCAGAAATCAATCCTCAGGGAATAATTCAAAATGTGGATGAGGCTGTATGCACAAAGACGTCTATCAAAGCATTATCTAAAATAAATACATGGACTTAGGGACCACCTATGTGGCATACAGCAGGAGAATAGTCAAACAAATTATGGTACATTTATAATAAAATATTTAAGAGCCATCGAAATGTATTTTAAAGAATATTTAGTGATAAGAAGCAATGCGTACATTAAATATTGTGTTTAATGAATACCATACCTCCGGAAGGAGAGAAATGATATCAATTTGTTAATGGTGATTGTATTTTGGAGCTAGAATAAAGACGGGTTTTAAGTGTCTTATTTTGCCTTTGTGTGTGTTTGTGTGTGTGTGGGGTTTGTGTGTGTTTTCTAGTCTCAAATGTAAGCATGCATTACTTTTCTTTCTTTTTTAATTAATTAATTTTTTGGCTGTGTTGGGTCTTTGTTGCTGCGCGCGGGCTTTCTCTAGTTGCAGCAAGCGGAGGCTACTCGCTGTTGCGGTGCATGGGCTTCTCATTGCAGTGGCTTCTCTTGTTGCGGAGCATGGGGTCTAGGTGCACGGGCTTCAGTAGTTGTGGCACGCGGGCTCAGTAGTTGTGGCTCGCAGGCTCTAGAGCGCAGGCTCAGTAGTTGTGGCGCACGGGCTTAGCTGCTCCGTGGCATGTGAGATCTTCCCAGACCAGGGCTGGAACCCATGTCCCCTGCATTGGCAGGCGGATTCTTAACCACTGCGCCACCAGGGAAGCCACAGCATACATTACTTTTCTATTCATAAAAAAAGTTACTTGGGAAATATAGCCAATATTTTATAATAATCGTAAATGGAGTATAACCCTTAAAAATTGTGAACCACTATATTGTACCCCCGTAACATACAATACTGTACAGCGACTATACTTCTATTTTAAAACGTTACTTTGTTTTAAAAGAAAGAACTTAGTAATTCTTCAAAAGCGTCTGTCATCATGTTTGTCATAACGACTTTTTTTTCCTTTTTGGAGGGAGGTGTAGAGGTGCTGCCACATTTGTTTTTGCTACTGTTTGGAGGATAAAGGTCTGGGCAGAGAGAGGAAGTGAAACAAGAGAGGGAAATCCTGCAAGGAGGAATCTTGTGTGAATCCCCGATAGAAGATGAAAAAGTCTGGGTCAATCATGGGTCATCGTGTATGTTTTTCCCTCTAGTCCAAGGAGGCAAAAACCTGCAATGTCACGCTCGACAGTTTGGATGCTGAGAAGTGTTATTTCTTTCGGGCCAGAGTGAAAACGCTGGAGTCCAGCTACGGCTCTGACACATACCCAAGTGACTGGTCAGAGGTGATACACCAGCAGAGGGGCAAGCTAACAGGTAATGTCATGCAGCATCACTGCACAACATGGTCTGGCACCCTACGCTGGGGGGAGGGTGGAATGGGGCGCCTGAAAACACAGATGACCCCACGTCCTGCTCCAGAGGTCACGGTGGAAGCAATTCCTCTTCTGGATTCCATCATTATTGGACTAATTTTCATTTTTATTTCATAGCAAGAATAATGTGTCATTTATGAATGTGATTCCATGGATATAGGTATAGATGCATAGAGACATCTATAGATAAATAGGTGATAGATGGATAGATTGATAGATGATAGATAGATGACAGATATAGATAGATAGATAGACATAGATGGATGATAGGTGATAGATAGCTAGATAGATGGATAGGTAAGTAGACAGATATATATCATAGATAGATAAGTAGATAGGTAGGTAGGTAAATAGATAGATGATAGATAGATGATAGATAGGTAGATAGATGATAGATAGATAGATGATAGATAGATGATAGATAGGTAGATAGATAGATGATAGATAGATAGATAGATAGATAGATAGATAGATAGATAGATGATAGATATGGATAGGCCAAAGAAAGCCCTTATATCCTCAAATACCCCTGGCAATGAGTTAAATCTACACTCCCTCCTTCCTGATGTTTGCCTGTCCAGTGTCACCATCTCTCTTTCCAGGATATTTCACACCAAAATCAAGATTTGCTGACCCTAACATTTATAAAGGAAAAAAAAAATGTGGGTGGCAGGGTTTGGAGTGTGATCTAGTATTATGTTGAAATTATCTTGATAACTTACAGCCCTCATTCTGTTTTGCTTTAGATTTGTGCCAGAAAAACAGCCTTTTCTCAAATTTTATCTTAATTGCTGGCATGGTCACCTTCCTGATAGCCTCCCTTCTCTTTCTGCCTTTATGGAAACTACGGAGGTAAGGATGACCCTGCCAGAATCCTCAGACACATAGGCTTTGGTTCTAATATGTCCCTGAATTGGGGGGGGGGGGGGGGGAGGAAGAATTGTCTGATATGATTATTTAGCTGAATATCACTTTCTCTATAATACACACTTTGCCAGTGGTATATGACAAGAAACTTGAGAGGGAAATAATGCCAAAGGTGCAGATATCTGCGGAATTCATTGACAAATATTCTCTTGGAGACAGTTGGATATAAGAATGCTCATTCTTATGAGAGCGTTACCTTGCTTCAGACACACGCCCCATTGAGCTGTGTCCTCCTGTCATGTTACAATGACAGGTACTTAAAACACCTTTTAATTTTTATTGAGATTTATTAAATGAGACAATTTGGTGAGTGACTTGAGAAGAACTGGACAAGAAGAAAGCTTGTCTGGTTTGTAAATCCATTTACAGATACAGCAAAACAATATTCTTTGAGACCATAGAAAGCATTTCAAAAATATGATATTAAATATTTCTCCCCATTATCCTTCCGTGCAATAATTTAACAACCGCTATTTCCATCTTTCTTTAAATGTACTTGCGCCCGGGTCTTTTACTTCTTGATGATGTTTGAAGGCACTGATGCCCAGGGCCGTGGGTGCCATCTTTGTTTCTTAGGATGGGGTTTCCATAGCAACGACTGGAGTGATGCATAGAGAAACCGCCATTTCTGGACCACCATTCTGGACCACTCAGGCTGGGTCTGAGCTAGGCTAAGTTAGACAATTTCAAGGTCGTCCCATCATGGTTGGGTACAGCGTGGAGCAGCTTCCCTTGATTCTTGCAAATCGCCCCATTTCTTTTCACGCTGCTCTTCTCTCTTTGACCAGCTCAAACAGATGCCCGCAGTACGGTTCTCTGCAAGGGAATAGATGAAGCAATCAGATAAGCGTGTTGACAGGTGACATGTCTGATGGTTTTTTTTATTTTTATTTTTTAAATTATTTTTATTATTTTTATTTTTATTTTTTTTTTTGCCGTACGCGGGCCTCTCACTGCTGTGGCCTCTCCCGTTGCGGAGCACAGGCTCCGGACGCGCAGGCTCAGCGGCCGTGGCTCACGGTCCCGGCCGCTCCGCGGCACGTGGGATCTTCCCGGACCGGGGCACGAACCCGCGTCCCCTGCATCGGCAGGCAGCAGGCGGACCCTCAACCACTGCGCCACCAGGGAAGCCCTGTCTGATGTTTTTGATACAAAACTGAAATCATCCCTGAGGGAATCTGGGGGGTACACTTCTTGGAAAAAACTAACACTTGTCCTGTCTTCAAGGAAGTCCCTGTTCACTACGAGTGGTGAAATCAACTGTATTATTTTCCTGGGGCTGCCATAACAAAGCACCCCAGACTGGGGCGGGCGGGGCTCAAACAACAGACATTTATTTCTCCCAGTACTGGAGGCTTGAATCTGAGTTCCAGGCGTGGGCAGGGCTGGCTCCTCCCGAGGCCTCTCTCCTGGGCGTGTAGACGGCCGTCTCCTCCCTGTGGCCTCACACGGACGTCTCTCTGTGTGCGTCTGTGTACTAATCTCCTCTTCTTTTAAGGACACCAGTCACATAGGGTTAGCATCTTATTAGATGAGAACCTCTTAGGTTCTGTGTCTGGGGGCCTGCGAATTAAACTGACCAAAGACAGAGTAACGTAAGAAAATGCATGTTTCTTTACTGATGTAATGTTTTTAAGCGCATGGAGATTCGTAGAAAGGAAGTGAACACCTAACAAGGCAGTTAATTCGGGGGCTTCTGTACCATTTTAACAAAAGGTAATAATTTGTGGAGAAGTGGAAAAGGAAGACAAATGAAAAGGGAGTTTGGATGTGGGTAACTTGTGGGAGGGTGACTAAGAAATGTGTGGGGGAAACTACAGGCAGATAAAGGTTGTCTGTGTGGAAGCATCTTGGTGCCATCTCAGTGATGTGACTCGTCCATTTCCAGGTAAAGCGGTGGGGGGGGCACCTTTACAAATGGAATTTTTTTTTTTGTAAAAAGGGAAATTTGTGCTCTGCCTTTAGGTGGGTGGGGGAGGGCAGAGAGCTTCTCCTACCTTTGCTGTTACTCAAGTGCCTTCACCTCCAAATACACAATATCCCCAAGTGGCATATTTTGGGGTGGTGTATCCTGTTCACCTTCATACCCCATGTCTATGACCTCATTTCACCTTAATTACCTCCTAAGCAGTACAACCTCCAGATACGGCCAGATTGAGGGGTTAGGGTTTCAAGCTATGAATTTGGGGAGGTGGGGACACAGTTCAGTCCATAATGTCAACAGAAATAGTGATTCCTAGGTAATAAGAATTGCTCTTTTGCAGAGATGGGCTCCATGCCCCTCATATCACATTCCTGGTGAGGGCTTCACGTGGATGCTGGGAGCAGGGTACCTGCGGGGGTAGGAGTGGGGCACATGTTTTGAAATTGGGGATGCAGGTCCGCCAAGGTGTGCAGCCTCCGGGGTCAAAGTCTGCAGCCATCCCGGGCCCCTCATGGCGGGGCGGTGGGTGGGGTCTGTCCTCCTGGACGTCCACAGCCCTGCTCAGGGGCGCCAGCCTGTCTGACCAGACTCTCCATGTCCATTTCAGGGTTAAGAAGGTTCTCATGCCCAGTGTGCCGGATCCCAGATTCACCTTCTCTGGGCTCTTTGAGTCTCACCAAGGTAACTTCCAGGTAAGCGCCATCTCCTTGGGCATGAAAAACCGGCTTATTTTGTGCTGTCCTACTATCTCCCCTATGCACCATTTAAAACCCCGCTTTTATTCCAGCAGCCTCTTTAAATGCCTGTGAGGCTTTTTGCATTTGAAAGCAGCAGCATGTTCTTTTCTCTTTTGGTCAGAGAGAGTAGATCCAAGGGCCTCCGAGGGTGGCTTCTCTTGAAATCAGCCTCAGAGATCAGTGGCCCCCACTACGGGATTTTCCAGCCTAATCACTTTCTGATCTTATCAGGAAGTTGTGTTCTTAATCTGTTCCCTCTGCAGAGCTGACAACAAAACCTACACTTCCTTTTTCAAACTTTATGATTGTTGTTTCATTCACATGACAAATGCTTAAGGAGTTGGGAGGAATGAGAGAGAGGGAATCAGCACCCCGTCCCCAGGAGATTGCCAGCAGTGGACACACAGGCGTAGACTTTACAGGACCATGGGATCAGAGTTATGCCAGTTTCCTGCGGCTGCCACAAACTGCGGGGTTCAAAACATCACACATTCATCCTCCCCCATCCTGGAGACCAGACATGTGAGGTCAAGGTGTCCCAGGGCCGCGCCCCCTCCAGAGGCTCCAGGGGAGGGTCCTTCCCGCCTCTTCCAGCTTCTGGGGGCTCCAGGCGTCCCTGGGCTCGGGGCCGCCTCCCTCCCGTCTCTGCCTCCGTCTTCCCGGGGCTTCTCCTCTGTGTCTGTGTCTCTCCTCTTCTGTGTCTTAGAAGGACCCTGTCATTGGATGTAGGGCCACCCTCATCCAGGAGGACCTCATCTCAGACCCTTCCCTTCATCACATCTGCAACGACCCTGTTTCCAAATAAAGTCCCGTTCCCAGGTTCTGAGGGTTAGCACTGGGGCATATCTTTATTTTGGAAGGGATGCACTATTTAACCTTCCAGAGGAGCAAAAAGGTGAATTTTAAAACTACTTATAGGTGTAGGAGAGGGAAAAAAATGGAAAGAAAACCCACAAAAACATGCCTCTATCCTGTTAAGTTCTGTCCCTGATACCTGCAAATTAACTGGACAAAAAAAGAAAAAAAGATTAAGAAGAGAAAAGGTTTATTTTGTACGCACATGAAAACAAGTGAAAACCCCCAAGGAGTAGTTACAGACCTGGAGGGTGATGTGCCATTTTAACAAAGGGTGATAGAGTGCGGAGGAGAGACCAAGTAAAAGGAAAGGGGTTGGGGACTTGTGGGTGGCAGGCAAGATATGAGAAGGTGACTAGGAAATGCATGAGAAATAAGGGCTCTTTAGTAAGATTTTATGCAGACTCAGGTTCTCCCAGGTGATAAGTGTTGTCCCTGGAGTTGGAAGGGTCAGGGTGACCGTTTACAAATGTACATTTCCTTGCCAAAAGGAACATTTATGCCCTGCTTCTAGGGAGGATAAACGGAGAGCAGAGAATCCTCTCTGCAGCGGTGCATTCTCCATTGCCTTCAGCTGAAAATAATCCTTGTGCCAAAGCAGCATATTTAGGGGTGTCCCAGTTCCTTTCAAGGGAGAAGAGAGGGGGTTACAGCAGAGTTTAGGGCAGGAAATCTGAAATTTTTCAATACTTGGGGCTAGAAGGAGATGGAGGGGGGGCCGGGCCGGGGGAGGGAGATGCTATAGCGAACAGAGGAGTCGCCCAGTGGAATACAGTCCCCTGGAGCACCCTATTCCAGATGTGCTCCCAGCCAGCATCAGGAAATCCCAGGGCACCTGTTAGAATTCAGCATCTGGGCCCCCTGGACCTGCTGAGTGACAATCCTCCTTCTGAAAAGTCACCCCCATCTCAGAGAACATACCTGCGGGGTGGGGGCGGGGGGAGGAATCTGTGTTTCCTGTTTTGGGTTCCGGAAAAGCCCCTCAGGCGGTCCTCATGTGTGAGGAGTGACCACAGGCCAGCCGCTTGGAGGCTGATGACAAAAGGCAGGTCTGGGGCTTCCCTGGTGACACAGTGGTTGAGCGTCCGCGCCGGTCCGGGAAGATCCCACGTGCCGCGGAGCGGCTGGGCCCGTGAGCCATGGCCACTGAGCCTGTGCGTCCGGAGCCTGTGCTCCGCAACGGGAGAGGCCACAGCAGTGAGAGGCCCGCGTACCGGAAAACAAACAAACAAAAAAGGCAGGTCTGAAACCACAAGCTGTTTGCCAAGATGCTAAACATGAGAGCTTTTTTGTTCTGCTGGGGGTGGCATCGCCTCCGGAGGGAGGCTGCCAGGGTCCCGGGGAGGCACGGGCCCCGAGGGGAGGGGTTTGCTGCACGGAGCCTGAGTCACAATGTTTCATCCTGGCAGGAGTGGATCAAGGACACGCAGAACGTGGCTCACGTGAATAAGATGGAAGACGGGGAGTGGGAGTCTATCCCGGAAGAGGCCGTGGTGGTCCAGCTGGCCGAGATGCCCAAGACAGCGGTGACGAGCCCTGTGTACCGGCAGACAGCGGAGGAAGAGGCCACCGGGGAGCCCGGCCAGCTCCCTCGCCAGCCCCCCCAGGGCGGCGAGGTTGCCTCTCTCGGGGATGTTACGTTTGTGATGAGTGACAACTCATATGTGATGTTCTGAGAGGGTGCAAACTCAAAAGCCAACATCAAAATCTACGTTGACATTGTAGGACCCAGGACAGCATCTCAGGGGCTAAAAACCGCTGTGAAGGGAACTCCCCAGAACCGAGGATGCTGGTGTCTGGGGTCACCCAACACCCCACCCATCCAACCAATGCGTCCCACCCATGTTGATACCCAAGGGCTTGAAGGCGGATTCCCTATAGGTGGCAGACCGTTGGTTGGGCTTGTTCTTGCTGTCACCCGGCACATTGTCACCGTTCACTCAAATCGTTAAGGAAGGACAGCCAGCGGCCTGAGACCACCTTCCTTCGCACGTGCCCACCCAGTCCTGCCCTTTCACCATTACTACTCGCACCTGAGTGGTTCCTTAGATCTTCTGCTACGCGACATCTGTACCCAGCAGGTGAGGCACGGCACCCCCAGGTACAAAATGAATTCTGCGTTACCAACAACAACCAGCCACCCGGCTCTTGATCCAAAAGGGAAAAACCCTCTTTGCAACCATTGAGGCATTTTATTAAGCAGACTCTGTTTTAATTCCTGAGTCCACACTCAGGACATCACTCCTAAGAGATATTTGAATGTAAAAACCCTGCATGAATATTTGAAACATTCCCCGCTGAGTGTGCATTATTATTTTTTTTTTATATTGAAATAAAAAGAAAAAAAAGTGTTGGCGTGAGAACTACGGTGAGATGTAAACAGCTTGCTGATATGTGTGGAGATAGTGGACAATGTTAGTTTGATGCCCTCAAGCTTCACGTACAGGATGTATCTAGATTTCTAGATTACTGAGATCTAGTTGTTTTTTTCTTTTTTTTTTTTTCCGGCTGGTACTGAGTTTATCTTGTCTCTCTCTGCAGGGTGCAGTAAATAAACTTCATCAGATATACCTGGAGTCTGTGTGTGTGTGTGTGTGTGTGTGTGTGTGTGTGTGTGTGTGTGTGGTGTTGGGGATTTATAATTTAACAAAATCTCTCCCCACTCCAGAAAATTCCTCCACAAAGATAGAAATGGAAAGAAAACACTTTTATTAGTGAACAGACAGCAAGCCAGAATACAACACACATCGCAGGCAGCCCACTAACGGTTTGCAAACATAGAAGGACTCTCACCCTATTTCTGAGCTCAGCAACCCATTTCCCCTGCATTCTCAAGACAACATTGCTAATTGTCTCCTCTCTGTAGGATGCAGGTTTTGCAATTTGGGGCCAGGTTTCCAGCTGCAGTAAGGCCACTCTCTTCCCTGGAAGCTGGGAGGTGGGCCTTATGTGATTGTTCCTGTTTGGGAAGGTCATTCCTGGGTCAGAGCTGTGGTGCAGGGTTGGAAGTGGGAGAGCAGGAACCCCAGAAGTCACCTTTCCCCGAGGAAGATTTCAGGGTGGGCTGCACGCCTGGACCTGGGACCTTGTTTCTAGGCTGCGAGAGGCTTTTATTTATATACTTTTTAAAGTAATTAATTAATTTATTTATGTTTGGCTGTGTTGGGTCTTCGTGGCTGCGTGCAGGCTTCCTCTAGTTGCGGTGAGCGGGGGCTACTCTTCATTGCGGTGCGCGGGCTTCTCATTGCGGTGGCTTCTTTCGTTGCAGAGCATGGGCTCTAGGCGCACTGGCTTCAGTAGGTGTGGCACGTGGGCTCAGTAGCTGTGGCCCGCGGGCTCTAGAGCACAGGCTCAGTAGTTGTGGCGCACGGGCTTAGTGGCTCTGGGGCATGTGGGATCTTCCCGGACCAGGGCTGGAACCCGTGTGCCCTGCATTGGCAGGCGGATTCCCAACCACTGCGCCACCAGGGGAGCCCCACCCTGGAGGTTTTAATTGTGTCTCCACCATTGAATCTTTCGTGTCCTGGTCCATGTGTCTTTGCTCCAGAGTCCTTGAGTTGGGAATCATGCAGTGTTTCTCTTCTCCTCACTCACTGGGGTGAAAAGAGGGGGTCTCACACACTGGAGCACCCCGGAAGGCTTGTGTCCCCCTGCCCAGAGGTTCTGGCTCAGCAGGTGCCTCTGCAGTTAGAGCAGCTGTGTTTCTACAAGCCCCCCCAGGAGTGGCTGGAGGGGAGCTGACATGGCCGGTGTGTGCACCACATTCTGAGGAGGGTGTACAGCAAGATGCCCACTGAATCCTGGAAGACAGAGGAGGGCTAGTCTGTGCTGCTTGGATGCTGAAGCCCCCTTCTCGGGAGCAAGGGGCCGGCACTGACCAGGGAAGCAGCCCTCCGTCTCCCGGGGACCTGAGGCTACAGATGACCCTCCCCTGGGGTCAGAGAGCCGAGATGTGTGGTCATCTGGAATCCCCTGCCTGTACGTCCCGGGTGGGCACGAGGCCCTCTGCTTCAGACCAGGCTTTTCTGGGGGAAGTGCGTGGAGGTTTCCAGAATCTAGTCCCATCAACGGGGTAAGCATTAGATTTTCCTGAGAGTTGCCTGCATGTGGATTTTATCTGTGACTCAGGAAACAAGTTGGCTCCAGAATCATCACTGAGGTGGACAGATGTTGTATTCATCAGCTAGGGCTGCTGTAACAAGTAACCCAGACTGGGGCAGGGGGGTTGGGCTTAGACAACAGACATTTATCTCTCCCCGTCCTGGAGGCTAGAATGTGAGATCCGGATGTGGGCAGGGCTGGCTCCTCCCGAGGCCTCTCTCCTGGGCGTGTAGACGGCCGTCTCCGCCCTGTGTCTCCACGTGGTCGTCCCTCTGTGCGTGTCTGTGTCCTGACCTCCTCTTCTTGTAAGGACACCAGTCCCATGGGATCAGGACCCACCCTAGTGACCTCATTGTACCTTCATCACTTCTTTAAAGACCTTATCTCTGAATACAGCCAATTCTGAAGTCCTGGGGTTTAGGGCTTCAACATAGGAATCTTGGGGGAGACACAATGCAGGCTGGAACTATCTAACAAGGTCAGCCTGTGGTCCACCTACCTGCCCTCATCCTTGGCCTGACCCCACTGGCCCAGGAAACCCTCTCTGTCTACCTGATATGGCAAGAATTCAGGCCAGTATGCTTCACTCCTCCCTCTGGGCGAGCAGAGGGACAGACAGCCAGGCCCTCCAGGCTAGACGCTGCCTGGTCTCCTAAGAGGGGACGGTATGGCTCAGCACCAAGGTCTGGGTGGGATTTCACTGCAACCACTGGAAAACCAGAGGAAAAGCCCACTTCTCTTGTCTCCACATTCAAGAAGTCTTATCTGTCCAGTCACCCAGGAATCCCTTTTACAGAAAGGCCCTGAGATGCTCCAGCACAGGCTTGGGAGCTGGAATGTCTCATACCAAAATCAACGTATTATGTGTACACTCGAGGTGGTGGGTATTTTTTAAAAAACTTCTTTTCTCTTACCTTCGAATGTTCTGCTATCCCTGTTGACATGTCTTAACGACATTTTCCCCTCTTGATTTTGGTGATCGGAAAACAGCCTTGGATTTGGATGAAAGAACGCCAGTTTCCACTGGATGACACTGTGACTTTAACAGTCGAGGTGGGATAAGCGGGGCTTGGGCAGTAATGATGGAAAGAATCTAGAAAATGATGTTACGTGGTGATAAAATATGAAATATACTGGACGGTCCATCCAGCAAGTCCACTCTTCTGGGCTTTTATGTAAAGAATAAATAGTCAGGATCTCGAAGAGACATTTGCATCTCCATGTTTATAGCAGCTCTATTTACAATAGCCGAGATACATAAACAGCCTAAGTGTCCATCGACAGAGGAAGGGGTAAAGAGAATGTGATATCTATCTATCTCTCTCTCTCTCTCTCTATCTATCTATCTATCTATCATCTGTCTACCTATCTTTTATTTATCATCTATATCATCTATCTACCTACCTATCTTTTATCATCTATATCTATCTATCATCTGTCTACCTACCTATCTAACATCTACCTATCATTTATCATCTATATCTATCTATATCATCTCTCTCTCTCTCTCTCTCTCTCTCTCTCTCTATATATATATATATATATATATAAAATGGAATATTACTCAGCCACAAAAAGAATGAAATAATGCCATTTGCAGCAACATGGATGCACTTGGAGATCATATGATGCTCAGTGAATTAAGTCAGACAGAGAAAGACAAATACTCTATGTTATCACTTACATGTGTAACCTAAAACAAACAAAAAAACCCCAACAAGTTCACAGATACAGAGAACAGATTGATGATTGCCAGAGGCAGGGGGTGAGAGGTGTGTGAAACGGGATGGAAGAAAAAGAAAAGAAATATACGTTCTCTGCCTTGGTTCCAGTCACAGAGCTCCTAAAACCCTCGGGATGTCCTGAGGGATGGGGGAGATGGGGGGGTGGGAGTAGCACTTCTTTTGTTATTCATAATAAGTCCTTTTCAACCCAACAGGGGCCCCTGGATGCCTTCAGGATGGGGGCTGGTTGCCAGGGGAACCAACACCCCATAACTTACCGCGTACGTCCCTAATATTTGGCTGAAGTGTGGCCAGTCTGGTGGGGCTGATCCCTTACCCTGAGGGGTCTGCGCTAACCCCGGGGAACTCAGGGTCACCAAGGACGCTGGGACACCACCTGCTGTCCACAGTGAATCGGAGAAGCTCTCCGTGTGGAAGCCTCATCCCCCTGGCGTGAGAAGCGTTGTGAGCACAGAAACAAGTGTTTTCTCTGGAGTAGTCTCAGAGAATGGCACCTCCATCCTCCACTTCCAGGGGATGGGAAAACCTCCGCCCACACTCTGAGCAAATTGTGAGACGTTTCCTTCTCTGCAGCACAAATGTATCTCATGCATTGCCTTTCCCAGGAGGGCAGAAATACCATAGTGCCTCATTTTGTATCATTTTTTTGAAAAACAGAAACAGACCCACCCACAGACATAGAAAACAAATTTAGGCTTACCAAAGGGGGAAGGGGGGAAGGGATAAATTAGGAGTTTGGGAATAACAGGTACTACTATATTTAAAATAGACACACAACAAGGTCCTACTGTATAGCACAGCGAAATATACTCAGTATCTTGTAATCACGT